AAAACTTTCTGGTTTTTGGCCAAAAACTTCTCCGCAATCATGCGCATGGAAAAGACTTGATCTGTACACCCCATTCCCTTTCTAAAACCCGCTTGCACATCCCAAATTTTTCCATCAGTTTCTTTCATAACTCTTTCAATTAACACCTTAGCATACATTTTACCCACAATACTAAGCAAGCTGATACCACGGTAGTTTTTGCAGTCCTGCTGTGACCCTTTTCCTTTATATATTGGTACTATAACTGCTTTAAACCAGTCATCCGGTACCCGTTTTAATTCTCAACATAAATTAAAAGGTTTGCATGAGTTCGAATTCCCCCTATTTTTTATTAATAATTATTTAAAATTTAATTATTGTATGTGACCAAATTTCATATAAAAGTTATCGTTTGAAAATGTTAAGAATGTTATTTAAAGTTTTAAAGAAAAAGGTGTTTTATTTTACAAGTATTAGAATATAAATGCACTTATTTTATTGATAGTTTTTATGGCAATGTTTTATCAATATCATTTATTATTTTAAATTATAGCTAGTAGCTGCTTGCATAGTATAGTACATAATAGGAATTTAATATCAAGTAAGTAAGTTACCGGTAAAAATAAAAAAATAACCTGTTCAGTGAGTTTTTGTTGGAACTTTGATTAAATACAAACACTATAGTATTACAAGTCTTCAAAATTGAATTCTGGTTTGTGATGATGTTAGCCTTTTTGGCTTTTAAAGTTTTATCGGTCTCAGGGCAGAGCGAGCTGTAAAAAGGGTAATTAATTCCATTATTCGCAACGTTACTTACGTAACGATGTTCACCTACGACTATGTTAAAGTCTACATAGATGAGTTATCTAACGGCCGTCCGTACAAGGCCCCGGCTCTGACGGTTAACTAGTATCGCTCTATGTTCTGTGCGGTGAAAACCGCCCACGGATGCGGGTGTAGAGTGTGTATGGAGTGTAGACGGGCGCGCCCGTCTTTGGACTCGTTGCGTCCCATCCGTGGTTCTAACGGTATATGTGATACTAAATCAGTGTGTAGCGTTGGTGTGCGATGGACCGGCGATAAGATTTGGATCATTGGAGTCTAGCGGAACTGGGGTTCGATTAAAACGTTACGGGGTCTCCGGAGACTTTCCGTGATGTTTGGATTCGGAGGTAGGTGGCTGGATTTATCACTAGCAGGTTGGCATGTCATCTTGGCCCTTGGAAATTTCCATGAAATATTTAGAGATCGTCGAAAGTTGATCATCTCTGTGCAAGTAGGAACGCCGCTGGTACCACTGAGCTTGGGTGGTTATGCGAATGAATTTATTTTGGACGATTTGGAGGTCGTACAAGTTATGATAAAACGTGTGCGCAAAAGATACGCTTGAGCAGGACATGATAAGACCTATCATGTCTTACGTAAGCGTAGCTATTTAAAGATGGAGCTTGTGTCTTAAGGACAGTTAGCTTTTTCTGTTATAACTATCGGGTGGAGGCGATTAGCTTATAACGACTACAATAACTTTTTTTTGGAAAATGTATTATCCTTTTTGAATAGAAAATAAGTTATCACAAAAGAGAATAAAACGAAATCCAAGTAAAATAGTCGTGCATTCAAACTGTTCTTCAATCGACTCGTTCTTAAGATACGAGATTCATGAGTTATGTGAAATGAATACGTAAACGCTAGGGAAGATTATGACTCTACTTTCAAAATAGTTGAGAATAGTCGTACTGCATTATATCAAATTATTTATATGTTTATATATTGTAAAAAGAAATAAGTAATATTATATATAACAAACAAACTATAAGTTTTTTTTAATATCATTGTTTATGGTTCTGATATCAAATGAGAATAACCTATAATTGCTCTTCCGTTCGTCTTTCTTAGTTTGAAATTAGCATCATAACTTCCTCAATTTAGACCGAATAAGAATGTAATGTATGTTATCTTGATATGGATCATAAAATATGAAGGTGTAAGAAAAATCCTAAAATCCTATAATATTATAAGTACTTCTCCTGGTATATGTACAATTTTTAATTTCACTCTATACGCTTCAACAACATATTCCCAGAAAATGTGCGGGAGTCTATTCCACCAAAAAAATAATATTTTTTTTATTAACTAGCATAAAATTATTGTAATTTAACAAGTAATTCTTTTTGGAAGTTATTTTTTTTACTTTTACCACTGGTTAATTTTTTTTTAAAGTATAATGTACAATCTGATAACAATACATATTTAAGGAACAGCTTGGAAATGAACACCTCATACTCCGGCATTATATAACACTTAGAAATGAGGTGATCGCTACCAAGCTGTTCCTAATTTTTATATTGTAAAATATAATATCGATAGTTAGTGGCTCAAAGGACATAAAGGACGAAACACTACTTTTCAGGAGGGCTAAAAACGAAAAAATAAAAATAAATAGGTATAGGTTTTTTAAGAGCTATTTAAATGATGACGTCCATGAGAAAAGTGCTTAGTATTTTCTACATTTTACAAAATATTTTTAAATATAATATGTTGTCGGACGTTAATGCTTGAATAATTTGTGGGTATTTTTTTGTACAACCTAAAAATAGCGAAAAGTGTCCTTTACAGCTCAGAAAAATCCATCATGCGCAATCACTAGAGTAGTACGTTCAATATCTTACAAAATTTTATAAGTAAGTGAGCACATGTTGTTGATTAAGGGAGTGAGTGAGTCCGGAACCCGAGTCCGATCAGGTACCTCGCCGTATACTCCATACCGTTGAGCCCATGCGCTCCGCGTTTACTCAAGAGAGAAGAAAGAAGACAAAGACATTTTACCTGTTCGCGGAAGTGCTTTGTGTCGTTGTGCGCCTTTACGGCCGCCAGGTGCATCGGGCCGCCGGCCCATTGTTCTATTATGTAGTGCTAGTTAGTGCCCCACGTTCTGCCGATTTCAGTAAACTGTAAGTAGTTTATTGCACACCCTCTGCCTCAGAGGCAGCAATTCTATTGTTTTAATTTCTGTGTTGCTTGTCGCATTAGGCGACAGCTAGGTACACACCCTAGCGTACCAACGCGCTAGTTGTATAAGTGTTCGTTTAGGCACACACCTCCCCCGCTGAAAGGTGGGGGGCTTGATACACAAGTGTTTATCAACCACTGACAAGATGGCGGCTATCACTATAGCCGAACTCGCCGACTTCTTCGGTCAAGTGTGCCCCGACGCTTGGGCGGCTTTCCTAGCCCAGCGCAACAAGGCCACTGCTGAACGTCCCGTTGTACGCATCGACGACCCTATTTTGTCGTCGACCCTAAGTTGCCGAGCACCGGGCCCTCGACCCCTGTGTCCATCGACACAGTTTACGACGCCGCGTCCCCCGCGCCTTCTGCGCTCTCCACCCGCGGTCCCTCCCCATTGTTTTCGGACGCCGAATCAGCTTCCGAGATGGAAACGGATAACCACCGGCCCGAAAAACCCGAATTTGAAGGCTTCACCCTAGTCTCGGGTAAAAAGCGAAAGCGCACCGCCGCGAAAAAGGGAGACGATCCTCACTCGGCCCCTACGTCGCCCAACGCCACTCCGGCTAAAAAAGTCGCATAAGACAAAGCTGCGAACCCGACTCCTCCCGTAGTAAGGAAGGAGAATATATATTATCTAGGTCTTGTTGACATGAAAGGCAAACAGAATGTATATGATTCGAAAAATGAAATATTCGAATTAAGTCCCACTCCAAAAACGTTTATCAAGATCTACCAAATATACCTTAGACCTTTTTTGGAGTTTGTATATGTAATATATTGTAAGAAAATGCTCAAAGGTAGGCTACAAAAATGGTAAAACGACTGCGGAAGATGACATATAAGCAGCGAATGAAGAAGCTTAATGATAGAACGTCCAAGTCCTAGTCCTGCGGGAAGGAGCTTCCGGAAGGACAATCCCAGGGACGTGCGTCCTGCTAGCAGTACGCATTATTTTGTGGATTTTTTATGGATATCAGAGGCTGTCCTTCTAGCAGTACTTGACTTTCATGCGTAATAAAATTAGGCAGGGGTGACAAACATCTGTAATTTAGTATAGGTATCTAGGAATAGACGCGGGCGCTTCTTAATTTTACGGAGTAGAAAAATAAACAAGAATATGAAAGGAACTTAGTGAAAAAAAATATTTATTAAAAAAAAGTTATGCAGGAATTCCATTCGTGATGTGGTAGGTGAAGCAGTTTCTTCCTGTCTGTGGAGAGCATAAAACACATCGCAAACCACATGTCTTGCAAAAATGCTCTCGAACAAACTATACACTTGCGTTGAACTCTCTTTCTGTCATCTAATTTTGACAAGGCTTCAACAATTGTGTTCTCCGCTATGAGGGATGTTCTCATATGGTAGCGGCTCATTCTCTTCTAGGTTATTAGCGTCATTTTTAGTCAGAGCTAATACCAGGTTGGTAGTAAACCATCTGTGAGATACCTGGTCATGTTCGGCGTGGAAGAAATTGTTAAAAATCAAGTACGCGTTTGTTTCTATAGTGCCCAGAATTCCATTCCCATTTATGTGTGCCCCAAGCTTTCTCTAACGCCAACCAGTCCTGCCTGATGTGGTTGTGAATATCGATAGCTGCAGCACCATCAAAATACTGCTGGACTAATTCTTGCGACTTCTCTGAAAAATAAATTTCCTTCAACGTCCCACCTTCTTTTACGTGATAGCAGGCCTGGCAGTGTCGTTTCACAAGTGGCAACAAATGTATGAGTTCTTTTGTCTTTCCAGGCACAGGCAATAAGCTGCACTGAGTCTTTTTCAGCTGTACTTACACATGCACCCTTGTGCGTCGGACACTTTGCAGCCATATCCGACAAGGGATAGAAACTGTGTGCTGTTATTACCAGTCCAATGAAATATAATCCAACTTTGAATAACTCCACAGCTGTTTTGACCGAAGTAAACCATGAGTCTCTAACTATAACTCTTTCAGAACCATGCCACGGCTCTGTCAATCTCAAAGTAGTTGCAGTTCCAGCGCCAAATTCTCTTTGCTATTTCTTCGTACTCATTGCTTCTTTACCCTCATTAATTTCGAATCTCATCATAATGTTTGTATTACTATCACACGCTATTTTTACTTCACAACCCACTCCTTTTGGTTTTCTTTTAATTTTCATAACTGCTGGCATCTCGTCTTTGAAGTACGCACCTCTTCCGTACCAGGCGAACATGGATTCATCTACAGTTATTTTTGCACCAGGACGATGGTATCTTTTAGTTTATCATTCACCATTATTACTAGTGTCTTGGTGTTACGCCATTTGTCAGAATCATAAAGGTCTGACTATTGTGTGAAGCGCAGGGCCACTAGAATGATGAACTTGGCCACGACTCATTCCAAATCTTTCTCCAAAATTTGCGGGGGGAAATATTCCATTGGAGGTCGTATTCCAGTAGGAACTTCGGTCTGGCAGTTCTTGAAGAGTCATAGCATATAATATACCAAAAAAAATTAATAATTCCTTCTCGTTCAACAGTTTCTGTCCAGGGAGAAACGAAAAGTTGGTACACTGGACTATGTAACTAAGTTTCTCTCTGGGAAATACAATAAAAAATGCATCCTTGACACTTCGTGCAGGCTCCAGTGGTACTAGTAGGGTAGCTTTGAAATAGCCTTGTTGTCGCTGATCAACACTTACTACTTCATGAAAAGTCCAGGTGACTCCCTTCATAACGGTTGTATTTCCAGCAGAAGAATTTGTTACGCTGCTCATACGCGGAGTCGGATAGACTGAAACAGTTGTCTCGTCATCTTCACTCAAAGATGAAGAGCCCGATTCAGATGATGCTGAAAAAAAAGCTCTATTAGTCCTAGCAATAGAAGCAAAGGGGTGCACGGTGCACTCAATACATTTGAAATAAAAATTGTTTTTTTAATTACACACACACATATATATAAAAATACAGCCACACTCATATATGTATATACACATACAAACTCACCCACACAAATACGTAAAAAAACACTCTTACATATACATATTGAAAACAGCCACTATAACGAGCAATATGGGCGTTTTCAAGGTTAGACTATAGGTATAAACTTAGTTAACTAAGTTCTCGACTGTGGACGTACATTTGAGGAAATTTTGTGATGAACCAAAAATTTTAATCCAAAAAAAATGTTGTCAACCCATGCAAATCATGGTAACGAACAGGCGACCGACCTACTATTTTTTCATTGTAACGTAAGTATGAATAAAATAATAATTGGTAGGTACTTACAATTTTCTTCATTAGTATTTGCTTCCAATAAATTATCGTTTTCGATATCAGCAATCAGAACTCCAACGGGCACCAATGAAATTTTTTTGTCAATTTCCCAATATACCATAGCATAGTTGTTTTCTACCTTTCTTACTGTACCCCAACAATAACTTATATCGTAGTTATCACCAAAATGTTTGCGACTCCAGGTGTTGTGGCCATCATTTTCGTCGAAATATGTAGCTTTGATGCGAATGCGGACACCACGTGTTATACTCGCCGTCATTTTGGCCAGACTGATCGCAGAAACACAATTCAAAAACTCGCTGAATCAGAAAGAGACGCACTATGCATGTTAGTAAATTGCGTCCTGATCGCAGGCCTAGAAAGCCTCATATAACCAAAAACATTGCGTCCTACCGGTAGTACGAAAAGTCCTGCTGGCAGGACTCTCACCGGTCTCTGGACGTTCTATCATTAACTTAACAACACTAGAGTGCCGTAGACAGAGAGGTAGTCTGATTGAAATATACAAAACACTGACCCGATATTATGATGTGCCTACTCTACAAAATTTGTAGTTACTGAATAGCAACAATCTTTTGAGAGGGCATTTAGTTCAACTTTGCCACTTCGGAATGAACACACAAAAAATGAACAAAGTTATTATTATAATAACGTTCCTAAATCGCATATAATATAAATTCATATCATTTTTCGGCTGATACAAATATCTTTCTTGTTAGCTTCATATCCATCATAATGAATTTTACTAATTAATCTTAGAATTTTACTAATAGACTAACTGGAGTGTACAATAGATCAATGCTTCTAATGAACGTACTCGTAGATAATAGCCTGAGTGAAAGTGTAAAGCTGAAAAGTATATAATAATGATTTTAATTTTAATCTTTTGAAATATTATCGCTAAGAAACGATTTTTATAACAAGTTTTTATAAAACAATTTAGTCGTGGTAGCATAGCTAATAAGCGTTCAGTAGTGAAAGTATATATACCTTTATAGAATTAACTCATTAATAAATATAGTATAAGTGACGTGTAGGTATCTTAGTAAAATATGAGATCTACATGTGGAAGCCCTAAAAAGAGAATACTAGAGATGTAATTAGATTTTATAGAATCCTGAAGTATTATAGTGTAATCCATATTAGTAGGCGTTGGTATATAGAACAAGACACTGAAAGATAATTTAATATAAACAGGGTCTATTATTATATACTTATTGGTTATATATATATATATATATATATATATATATATATATATATCTATTATGTAGCGAAAAACTACTATATATTGGAATTTAATCATTAAATGTAAAAAAAGAAAGTTTAATCATTCAAAACATCAGTAGTGTCCTTTGTCAAAATCTACAAAATAAAAAAAAAATATGTTCCGAGGACACGTTATATGACCATATATTGGCGTGGTGTGGCAGCGGGACGGACTCTTCGTTCATTCATAATCCTTCTCAAAAACGGGAAGAGGCCTGTGTCTAACAGTAAATCATACGGATCGATGCTGCTGCACTTGTTTTATGCACACAAAAATATATAATTTATAGACTACATGGTTACACGGTAAAAGAAACCAAGAGTTTAATAGGTCTCATTTAATAGGAAAAAAAGAAGTGTAAACGTTTATAAATGTAAAGTTACTTCGCCTTAGTATAAACATAAAGTGTCTTTACGTTTATACTTTCACAAAAAAGGCATGTTCAGTTATGGACTTAAGTTGATGGGGGCACCAAAAGCAGATTTTTCACTCTTTGAAAGTGCAATTTTTTGTCAATAAAAACTGCGAATTCACATTTTTTTTTAATTCATTATTATAGTTAAAGATTTTTTTTAGTGAACTAGGGTGGCTAAAACACGATAGACACATTTCGGCTTGACAGAAAAAGATCGCAATATTTTCTCAAAATCTACAATTTTGGGTAAGTTCACTCACTAAATGAAAAAGCAGTTTCATTTGAATGTAATGAAATCAATTTTAATTAAATTCTGGCTATGTGTTCACAAGTAAATTTGTGAGTGAATTATGGGTTTATTTTTCAATAAAAGAGTATATATCATTTTAAAAAAAAATATCAAATAAATATTGTGCGATTATATAGATAGCGCGCGGGCCGACGAAACAATCCATATAAAGCGTGAAAAATCTGCTTTTGGCGCCCACTTCACCTTGAATACAAATGAATACAAATAATTATTAATTTTCCGACAAAATGATTATCATATTCATTTTAAGCTTTCGAAATGAAATTTGAACTGAAATAAACGTAAATTTCTTTTTGATTTTTTTTTGTTTTTCTTTTTTTTACCCTTTATAATATTTTAACATATTACTAATAACAACGGCGCATCGTCAGTATACGAGTACAATGCTACGATTTGTAAATAGATAGATTTATAACTAGCTATGCCCGCGACTTCGTTCGCATAAAATTCTTGTTAGTTTTGAAGTATTATTTCTCGGGACTATTGATTATATTTTATAGACTACATCTCTGTTTCAACTCAAACAGTAATAGTATAGTATCGATATTTTTATTGTTATACGGAGTAATTTCATCATTAAACCCTTCAAAAGCGTGGATGATTTCAACGCCGCGGATGTCGTCCGTTCCGTGTCCATGTCCGTTCAATTTATACATAATATATTAAATTTAATCTAAGTACCGTTAAAATTATCTTTAAATAAAACTAAGTAACGTAGATATGCAATAACATAATATTAACGCGTCTAAAAGGAAAGTAGTACAAAAATAGAGACTTTGTTTGATTTTATAATTGAAATCAGAACATCCATGCAAAAACAAAAGTATTATCACGAATTTAGTCAGATTTTTATATCCGGAAGTAGACTATTTATAAAAAATGTCCGAAATTAAAAAAGATATTAATAGTAAATAAACGAAAAGCAGTAGGGGTGTGTGATGAATTCTGCCCCGTTCTAAAAAAAACAAACCCTCGCAGAAACATGAAGATGAATATAGCCCCCATAGACTGTCTCATGGGGGATCTTTGCCATAGTTATCACGCTTGGTAAGCGGATTGGCAGCCGCAGTTTTTAGATTCAGTCGTTATTAGGAAGACGCTGCTATCCATCTCCTGGTTCGTTTCCCTCTGTAGCCTCTTATGATACCCGTGGGATGATATAGGGCAATGGATTTTTTATAGGATAGAATGACAAACGAGCATACAGTTTACCGGATGGTAAGCGATTGCCGTGGCCCATAGATATGCACAACTATATCCGCGATTACGAATTAAAATGCAGATGCGTTGTTACCCATGAGGACTAAGATGGAATGCCTTGTTTCCAATAAAAAGGTTCTCTGGTTCTCTACACTCACCATACGAAACACAGCAAAATTAATCTACTATTATACGCTGGTATTCTGTGAGACCGTGGTCCTTCCCCGGTCGCGCCGACCCATTCGTGCTACAACAATACTACCAACTACTGCAGCATGGCTCTACCATGTAAAAAAGTTGATGAAGTTTTACAAAAGAGCACACATTTTATAACCGGCAAAGCATCAAAGAAACTATTTCTTATTATCAGAGAAAACATTTATTTTATTAGCATTTTTTTGTGTCCTATTGGTGCGGTTTTCGAATGCAAAAATGTAATTATTGGTATTCCTCTTCGTCGAGCTTCATATGTAAAAACAGGAAAATCATCTTATAACAATGTTAATAATAATAGTAATAATAATGCTTCCTTGTGTAGACATCGTTGCAAATCAGTACATTGGTTACAATTTGGAGACCTTTTTGCAGAAACTGAAGGTTTCTGTGCAATACAAGATGAAGTAATTAAAACGAACAACTACCGGAGATACATTCTGAGGGACGGCACAGTTGACGTATGTCGCGCATGTCACCACCCTGGAGAGTCCCTCAGACATGTTATTTCCGGTTGTTCACATCTATCAAATGGTGAGTATTTGCACAGACATAACCAAGTAGCTAGAATAATACACCAACAGCTTGCCATTAAATTTGGCTTTACTCAACAGGACGTTCCATATTATAAGTATGAACCAAAGCTGTGGGTTTTTTTTTTTTTGTTTTTTTTTTCAGTGTGTGAAACGGGGTGGGGTTTCTTCTGGGAAAAAAGTTGGGTTGGTGGGTTTTTGCGGAATGGCTGAAGGCATTAATTCAAAAATCGGCCTTATTAAATACGGCTCGAATAGTAAGAAGATTCCTATCTTTGGATGCCTTACTTCACCGATGGCTTAGAATTCCTCGCCGCGGTGGATAATAACTGAAATAATAATATTATTTATATAGATTGTATTTATATTTATAATATTATAGTTTTGATATAATATATATAATAATAATAATATGGCAGTTTACCGTTTTATTGGCGCCAAACTTCCCTTGGCTGGACGCGCTACTACACAAAGTAGCGCCATCCCAGCCTGGAGAAAAAGAATCGAGGACCGTATCGGAAAGGCAAGGGCCCTTATCGGCAGTCTGACAAGCTTCAGGTCGGGTAATAATAGACCGAGGATTGTGCGCACCGTTAGGATGGCGTTTGCTGGGACAAATATCAGTTTGTCCCAGCCGGATATCACGCAGCAACTAACGGAGCGCATAGACGACCTGAAGCAAAAGATCGCTGCTTGGGGGAAGCGGATTCGACGATTTACCGAGAGGTCAAGGCGGTTCAACCAGAATCGTCTCTTCCAGAGTGATCAGAAGAGGCTCTATAAATCATTGGAGCGACCAAAGGTATGTGGAGCGGGCCAAGGATCGGATCAGGCTGACGTTATCGCATTTGAGGTGTGGTCAAAACCCGTAAACCACAGCGAGGGCCCTTGGATGGAAGTTGTGGCGAGCCAGGGTGCGAGTGTTACGCCTATGGACCCCATCACCATAACGCCGAAAGACGTGGCTTAGGCGGTCCGTAGGGCCCCGAACTGGAAAAGTCCGGGGCTCGACGGGCTGCATCATTACTGGCTGAAGGGTTTCATAGTGTGTCACGCTGTGTTCGCCCGACAGTTTCAAGAGGCTCTCGACCAGAAGTCGCTCCCGAGCCTCTTCACTACTGGGATCACTCACTTGGTTCCTAAAGATCAGGATACCACAGACCCGAGCAAATACCGCCCCATCACGTGTCTACCCACCATATACAAGACACTGACATCCATTTTGAGCGCGAGAATCACTCGTCACCTGGAGCTAAACCAGGTGATGTCACGCGCTCAAAATGGATGTCGGGGCGGTGGTCGTGGAACCAAGGAACCACTCCTCATTGACGCGGTCATAGGCAAAGTGGTGAAACGCAACCGTCAGAACTTCACTGCCGCCTGGATAGACTACAGAAAGGCGTTCGACTCGGTGCCCCATACATGGCTAAAGAGAGGTCCTCGAGCTGTACAAGATTGACTGTACAGTTAGAGACTTCCTCGAGCAGTGTATGGGGCAGTGGAGTACGATCCTTTGTCATCTGGGCGAGCGGTTGATGGCTGCGGAGAACCACATAAGGATAAGAAGGGGTATCTTCCAGGGCGATTGTCTGAGTCCAATATGGTTATGACTCCCTCTTGAACCCTCTGAGTACCTTACTGGGGGGCTCCGGGAGGGGATTTTAGCTACGGAAAGGAGGAACAAAAGTGACCCACCTTTTCTATATGGATGACCTCAAGTTATTCGCCTCCAGTCGCTCCCATCTTATGGAACTGCTAAACATCACTTGTGAATTTAGCCATTCCATTGGAATGGAGCTAGGGACGGATAAGTGTGCGGTCCTCCATGTTGAAAGGGGAAGAGTTGCTAACTATGAGGGCATAGATTTGTCTATGCCCTTCAACTTAAGGACCCTTTCCGAGGCTGAAACATACCGATACCTGGGTATGTCACAGAACATCGGTATCGATGAGGCTGGTATGAAACAGTCAGTTTGCGACGTGTTTTATGCACGCTTGACCAAAGTGCTTAATAGCCGTTTGTCCGGTGTGAATAAGTCACACGCATATAACTACTGGGTCATGCCTGTCCTCATGTATACCTTTGGCATACTCAGGTGGACTCAGACGGAGCTTAACGCCCTGGATAGAAAAGTCCGCACTACCATGACGTCCCATAGGATGCATCATCCGAGATCGTCGGTAATGAGGCTGTACTTGCCGCGAAAGCATATTGGGCGTGGCTTTCTGAGCGCGCTCACCATGCATAATCGCGAAGTGTGCAGTCTCCGTCAATACTTCTTGGCGAGATCGGATGATCCATTCTATAATGACGTCATTTCTAGTGATAAAGGGCTTACCGCTCTATCCTTAGCCAACGAGCACTGGCAGGACCCAGCAGTGCTTAGCATTTCCGACCGGGAGACCGTATGGAAGGAGAAGGAGCTCCACGGGAGGTACTACAAGGCTCTACATGAGCTCTTCGTAGATACAGTCGCCTCCCTCAACAGGCTACGTTTCGGTGACCTCGTCGGGGAAACCGAGGGTTTTGTCTGTGCAATACAGTATCAGGTTATTAAGACCAACAACTATCGGAGATACATTCTAAAGGATGGCACCGTCGACGTCTGTCGAGCTTGTCGCCATCCCGGGGAGTCGCTTAGGCATGTCATCTCCGGTTGTTCGGCGCTTTTTGTAACTCTGAGTACTTGCACAGGCACAACCCAGTAGCTAGAATTCTACACCAGGAGCTCACATGGACCGGAAAGTGCCATGTTACAAGTACTTGCCGGAAGCCGTGCTCGAAAATGACCGCGCCAGGCTCTACTGGGACCGGGCCATCATCACAGACAGGACTATTCTTGCGAATAAGCCTGATATTGTGATGATGGACCGGGCATAATCAAGGATATTTTTGGTCGACATTATCATTCCGTATGACGAGAACCTCGTGAAAGACGAAACAGATAAGCGAACAAAATATCTGTATCTGTAAGGACCTGGCTCACGAGGTGACCGACATGTGGGGTGGTCGGCCGACCGAAATTATTCCTGTAGTCGTCTCTGCGAATGGGCTAATCCCAGTCAGCCTCTCGGGTCTGTCGAGCTAGTCGCCATCCCGGGGAGTCGCTTAGGCATGTCATCTCCGGTTGTTCGGCGCTTTCTAACTCTGAGTACTTGCACAGGCACAACCCAGTAGCCAGAATTCTACACCAGGAGCTCACATGGACCGTAAAGAGCCATGTTACAAGTACTTGCCGGAAGCCGTGCTCGAAAATGACCGCGCCAGGCTGAAATGACGCACTGGGACCGGGCCATCATCACAGACAGGACTATTCTTGCGAATAAGCCTGATATTGTGATGATGGACCGGGCATAGTCAAGGATATTTTTGGTCGACATTATCATTCCGTATGACGAGAACCTCGTGAAAGACGAAACAGATAAGCGAACAAAATATCTGGTGGACCTGGCTCACGAGGTGACCGACATGTGGGGTGGTCGGCCGACCGAAATTATTCCTGTAGTCGTCTCTGCGAATGGGCTAATCCCAGTCAGCCTCTCGGGTCATCTGAGGCGACTAAAATATGTATTCAAGACCATACATAAATGAAATTAAAGTTTCTTTAACGAGGTCCTTAAGGAAAGGTACTCGTTACTATAACGATTGCCAAAAAGCTTGTTCAAAGCGAAAAGTTCGATTTATCTTAAGTTTTTTACGACCATTTTTTTCTTTTTCAGCCCGTAGAAGTTTAGAGCTAGAGTTTCTCATTGTATATAGAATTTGACGATCTGGGTATTTTAGGCTGGCGTAAAGAGATGTTTATACAATCTCTTAAAACCCATAAGACCTTACTGATTTTAATTAAAATATGTTTAATTTAAATAATAATATTGTGTGGTGTATATGTGGTGGAATGTAAAATAAATGTGAATATTTTTTTCTCCAAATGCCAACCTCATCACGAGTTACTTTACCTTGCTAACTGACGGACAAGTCTGTTGAGCGGTGGAAGGAGCACCGCATTACAAGCTAACTAAAAATGGTATTGGCCTCGTGCTCACCAAACGGGCTGACTGGCGGTAAGAATAAGATAATTTGCAAGTAGTGTTTGCAAGTCAAGTAGCTGAGACATTCTTGGAGCTTCTTGCATGTCTATTACTGAGCCCAACCTAACAGATTCCTGCCTTGCCGTCGTGAGACATAGAGTCCATGGCATGGTTACCTACAGTTAACAAAAAAAGTATCCAGTTTGCTGGCCCAATTTGCAAAGCGAACCCGAAGTGGCCGCTCCGTGTAGGCTTAGCGAACACACTTCGGATACGCATTGTATTTTGATGGACTGTAGCGAGAGGGATGTCCTCACACTCTACTTGCTGTAGCCCAGACAAAGTCACAGGGGAAGAAGAGTCACTCGATCGTGGAGTATAAAGCAATTTACGCATCAAAACTCGCTATGATGAGGCACGCTGGTGCGGTGGAAGGCGAACGGCGAGAGAACACAAGTTCCGGTAATAAGTGTCGTCGCTCTTCCTACACTCCGCGGTCGATTCTTGATTTGTAACCCCACGAAAAAAGTGTGTTGCCATGATAACCTAATTGCCATGTTTGTTTTAATTATTTTTAATGACTAGACAAAAGTTCTACATTTTAATTTTAAATGATTAATGATTAAATAACGCTATATCTCTGTATTACTACGTTTAAAAACTCAATAATTCAAAACGTTTGAAGGTTAGAACTTCACTGACGGTGTTGTATGCTATTGTGTTACGAGTTCAAATTTTCAAATCCCATTCGATAGAAAATAAATTGTTAGTTTACGAGCTTGACTTTATTTTAGATGTCTTTTTGTGAGTGTTCATAAAAAAAATATTTTATGTCGAGTTATAGATAGCTTAGCAGTGAAGTACAAAGTGTAATAACATGTTGCTTTTTTCATAGGATAAAATATATTTAGAAAACATAAAATTACGTCTATTCACAAGCGGGGTTGTAGCGCGGTAAGCTCTTCTCTACAATATCCACTCAAGAGAAGCCTATGTTCAGTTCTTTGTAGTATACACGATTTTATTTGAAAATTTAAATATCTATTTGATCATAGCTTACTGAATATCCTTTGAATGCTATTTTGTCATCAATTTAATTACGTACCTGACAGTTAAGGAAACATTTCGAAAATTTTGCTAACTAACTGCTTAATTAAAACAACATAATATGTAAATTTATTTTCAGTACTTTACGTAAAGTTTATATATATATATATATATATATATAATTCCTTGTAGTTTTAAAAACTCACTTTAAATATCCGTAATAAATAATGACAATAAAATAATTAAACTCTTGTTACAGAAAATATTTTTTTACTCAGTGGTTAACGCTAGAATCGTACCTATATTTTGCTGGTAATAATACTGGATTTATATACGGCTCTAACATTCGGGTATTCGCCTGACAAGTGTTCTACTTGAAACCGGATGGAAGGTGAACCAGGATCCAACTGAGATCCATCTTTCAAAAACAATTACTTACCCGTAAATTTATGTTGTTTTCTCACCACAAAAATATGTCTCGTCGCAGTATCCCAACTGGCTTTACTATTACCAGTTCTATACCAGTACTATTACCAGTGTGTTTACTGGGACACTAGGAGGAGGCTAAGTACCTCACTCGACTCAGATCTCAATCATGGTAATAGGACACTTTAGCTGGTGCCAAAGCCATGAACTACTTTTTACTAGATCGCGACTGCTTTCAGCATGCCAATTTCTCTCACTATTTCTTTTCTGGCTAAATGTCGGCGTTTCATGGTATAAAAAAGTCTATCGAAATTAGGTCAATTAAAAAACTTAAAATAATAAAAATTACGTATAAAAATAAATTTTGGCTAAATTTATAGGCGTAATAAAATTGATACAATTTTACCGCCTCCATAAGTTTTTATTTTCTTTATTTGATTGGAAATACATTAACTCGAAACACACATC